AGTGCTGGGGACTCCCAGTGGAATCACGGTTTTCCTGTCAACCTCCTTAGACTCGGGCGGATACACCTCCTGAGCAGAGCCCTCATCCTCGGCCGAAGTCGAGCCTTCGAAGTCCTCTGGCCTGGAGCCGGTGTCCTCCACGTGACCAGCAGCTGGGTCAGAGATGGCTTTTGTCGGGGCTTTTGTGACAACCTCCACCGGCACTCCCTCTGGCTTCTCTGGATCCGCTATTTCCGCCTCGTCCGTCGCGACTAACATGGGAGACTCCTTTGTGGGAAGTACTGAGGACTCTTGTCCTGACCCCTCTGCCCAGAGGACCCTTCCATGTCTGCCTCAACGGGGGTCTTGTGTGTTGGTATACCTGGGGACTGCTCCATGGGCTTCTGCTTTTCTGCTGTTGTCCCTGAGGTGATGTCTTTTCCCATCGAGTCCACGCAGTGGCGTGCTTTGTCCAACTGTCGTTGGGGCCATTGACGTGGTCTCCATTCTTTTAGGCACTTCGGCCAATGAATGCTCTTTTCCTGCAGGTCTGGGAATGGCTTCTTTGGCGCCATCTTTCTTGGGCACTGCCCCGACTTCGACATCCGAGTAGTCAAATGAGGTCCCCTTTTCCTTCGAAATATCTCCAGGCCTTTCGAAGTGGGTCACTTCATTCTCTGAGGGGGACACACTCTCAAACTGGTCTCCTCTGGCTTCCTGGATCCCCAGGTGGTCCTGGTTCAGGGTCAGCTCCTGCTTCCCGTTGATGAAACTCAGGGTTGGGGTGATGGTGGCAGAGGGGGCAGGAACCAGGTCATGGTCCCCGCTTCCCAGGACTTCCCCATGAACGGCAGGATGCTCTGGAGACTCAACGTCTTCATTCAGAGCCTTCAAAATGGGATCGACTGCAAAACAAACAAGATAATTACTCAACGGACAAGGCGTGTAGAATTACACTGAAATTATTTTAAAAGAATATACATATGTAGTGTTTTGTTGCTTAACAGTTCCTTTCCCTTTACAAATGATACAGATGATTTTCAAACAAGTGATCAGATTTGCATGAATGCACATTTTGCTTAGCTTTGTGTTCTCAGAGACATCCAGCTTGAGGGTCACTGAGTAACTGAAGGAAGTTGAAGTTTCGCTGTGTTTTGACTGTATTATATTCTCTGATGCAAGAATATTAACTTTACTGCTATCACGGATACATTATCAGAGAGCTGACAATCTCACGATTGCCTGATGTAGAAAAGAAATATTGAAACCAAAATGAAATATGAAATTTTTTCCCTTCCACATTTCCATGTTTTGTTTTTATGCATAGCTGTTTAAGTAAGTAAAATTATGAGCTGGAAAGTGAAGAATGCACTGAATTACGGCAGAGAGAGCCATGAAATCGTAAACACGTTGAAAGGTAGGGCCGGACTGTTTCTTAGTCAGACTGAATTGCCCCTTCGTGTGCCAGACACATAATGACGTACACGCGGTCCTGAGGTCCTTCAGAAAGGTGGGTTTCATAAAGAAAATCTATGTATTACCATGGGAACTTCCCGTGAAACATATTTAATACTAATGAGAGAGAAAAAATTCCAATGGCTACCCCAATATCTACTACCACTACTTCTACTACTACTACTACTGTTCATTATAAGAACTGGCAAAATTTTAATTCATTATTATTTTAATTAGTCTAATACTTTTATGAATATTTTGGTCTGTGGCTCATTAGCAATGACTAATGACCAATGATGGTTTTTCTCAGTGACGTTTAATTAATAAGCAATATTGGAGTATTGTAATGGAACACTTTCAACAAGTCTGTAATGTTATTTTTTCTACTGGGAGTGTCACACTTCACAGTTTTAATAACTCCAGATGCAGGTAGTGTTCTCTATGAACTGGAGCAAAACTCTGTGACCTCAGTTCCTTGAATCTGTAATACATCAAGGTTAACTCATGTATAGTGAGCTCCTTTCTACACTTAAAAATTCTGTTCGGCAGTTTTGTGAATTTCAAGCCCCACAGAGAAAAGATTGGGAAGTACTGTATGAACTATTACATTAAGTGTTGCAAGCAATGTCGTTGGTATTGAACGGCATTGCCTTCATCAATGGCGTTGCTTTGATAGAAACGGTGGGAGCCCAGAGAGGTAACCTGATCATTGGAGAGAAGGCAGGCTGAAAGTAATTAGCTAAAGCTGATTTGATTGCTGACTGATGTTTTGAGGGCGGGCCTTGCCATTTGGCCCTGGGGTCAAATACCCACACTGGCAATGGTCACACACAAGAACATGCCTATAAAATGGTGGACAATGACATGACGTTGAAAGATGACACACCGGCAACAGAATCACTTGTGCGACACTGGGGAGGGGCTACTGGTCAGCCATTTTTCTATGCTGTTCCAAATGTCCATACATCTTAAAAATCTACAACCAGTAATGCATGTGCAATGTTTAGGTATGCGTGACAATGAATCATTTTTAATAGCACCATGCTTCTCACCTTCTCACTAGGCTTGTATAAGTGGCAGATTTGGTGCCAAGATATATAATTATTTATAACTCCCAAAAGTCTTTGCTTTCCAATAAGAACACTGTTTTCAGAGTTAAACATCATACTGAAAAAAGAATAAAAATCTTGTTCCTGTCAGACTAAAATTTTCATAGATTACAGATTAAACAGACCGCAACCTACGATGACCCTGGGTAGCTGAAAATAACAGAGTGGTCTTTTTCTCTTATTTTGAAAGAGGAAAATATGTTTTCATCTTTAAAAAATGGAGCCAGTGCCATAAGCTGTCTCCAACTATTAATCCAGGAGTTCTCCATTTACAAAACCAAGGTGGGTGGTGAAAAATGTGGACAGACAGAAAGACAGACAGTCATGTCTATCTTTCCCACTGAACATGTCTCCATCTGCTTTCTGTATCCTGCAACCAAACCTTTATTTGTTTGCAATGTGCTTCTTTTGGAAGCTGACTATGGGGACAGAAACGGAGATAAATTACTGTGGTCTCTGGACCTGGAAAAAAACCTGGCCGTGGCCCACAAGCTGCACACCTGTGGATCTCAGTTCTGAAAATGGGGGCACCTGTGTAGGATGGCCGGAGCTGGGAAGATCCGAGGCCTGCATAGCCTTTGGGCCAATGGAAATGGACTGTGCCCAAAACCACGGTGCCATGTGAGGCATCTGTTAAAATAAGCTGCGTCAAACAAAAACATGTCAGCACACAATCCTGAGGAAGGCCAGAACCTTGGTCCCGTGGCGCCACATCGAGGTCGAACATTACCTCAGCTAGACTGCATGCCATATGCCCAAAACTGTCTCAGCAGAAATATAATATTTATTATTTTTTTCACTAAAGTTATATATAATACATATTCTTACTCTTATGACTTCTCTCTCAGTACCCAAAACAGGATTTCACATGTATTACTAAACCAGACACTTTGATGGTTACTTATCAATTTCAGGCATTTGACAGCTGAAGATACACATTACATCAACAGCCCAAGACTAATAATAATGACAGAAAAATGTATTAATTATAGTATTACAGTATTTTGACATTATTTCTTTACAATGGACCATAGCCCCAAAAATGCTAAGAACCAATTTGAATTTCCATTTTGAAATTTTTGGCACTTCCACATAACTCTATCTTTATAAAATTGATAATAAAGTCAGTATAGTATAATACTTGTAATATAATATTAAGTATATGAACCCATTACAGAAATGGAACAGAATCTACATAGCTGACTTATGCTATTATGTGCAGGTGTGGTAAACAGCTGTCACTGTCAATAGCATCTACAGGCTACACTGTACATAGACATGCTATCTCCCTCATGATAACCAACAGCCATACAGAGGATGTGGCCCTGCTACTGTTTAACACATCATCAGTGTTTTTAATTACCTGATAAACAATTGAACTGCCTGGAAACAAATATTCACTCCAGCAAAATAATATATATGCAAACTGGTTCCATTTCAGTCACTGCAGGTAAAAACTCTGTAATTTTCCTAATTCATTCTGAAGTATAATCAGGCAGCATTCTTCACAAAAGTAATATAATATTCGGAAATTCCTAGTAGGCTACAGCACCCCGAGGGTGCCTCTCTGGACCGGCCTCTGCTACATCGAGTAACACTGACGCAACGAATTCTCCCCAAAGCACTCACTTCCACCGCCCCGTACCTCAGCTGAGAGCCTGACGTTTGTGATGACATCATCCTCCTGCCAAGACAGCCATATTTACACAGGTAACCTGCCAGGCCGCCGGCCCGTCCAAACAGGGGACTGTAGAGGGATATTTTTACCCACCGCCACACGGAATAAAACAAATCACAAATTCCAGAAGCAGCTGGGTTTCCTTTCACTGTCCCGCTTGTTCCATCACACTGTCATACCTATTTCACTATAAACACGCAACATGAGTATTGGCAGGGACTGCAATTAATCATGAATTCTGAAATGCTGTCATATTTTTAAAACAATTTTTACCCCATTTCACCTTCCATGTGTAATCTCAGATAATCTAGTTGGCACTGTGCCACCTGTATTCCACAAGCAGTGGTGTGCTGAATTCCCATAATTCCCTGCTGGCCGATTCTCTCACTGCATGATGCCTCCAAATCTCACATTACATTTAGGCATTTAGCACAGAGACATACCCATAAACGCTATCCATTTCACTGAAGCAATTCACCTTGAGCATACAGCAGCAGTTCATTGACTGCACCCTCAGAGTTACACGCCCAGTGTGTTAGTCATTGTGACATCATATTTCTGAGGGTGGGTTTGGCCAGCCATCAGCAAAGGGAAATTTCAGGCTTCAGATTGAAGGCCCATGTATACAAGATTATTGAGAAGTAGAAACTGACATACTGGTCATTATTGAAGAATTTGGGCAGCATTACATTACAGTCATTTAGCTGATGCATTTCATCCAAGGTGATTTACAGCTGATTGGGCCAGTTCCCTTCAGGTCAAGGCTGTGGGCCACAAGTTGCCCAGGACTGGGGCTTGAACCACCAACCTCAGAGCTTCCAGTCATGCATCTTAGCCACTAGACTACCGGCTGCCCCACATGGCATTCTGTGCTTTGTGTTACCATGACAACGAACCTGACGGGTGAGGCAGAGATCCGCCACTCGTCCTGCACCGCAGATGTGCGCATGGGCCGCCAGGCGCCGCCGTAATGGAAAACAAGCGCAGCGCGGAGGGGCGCCATTCCACTGACCTCAGAATCCGTCAGTCCCGCGAGCAGCTGCCGACTCGGAGACCAAGCCCCTCTTTCCTTACGCCTAATGTTCCCACATCTGTGCAAACAAAGGTGGTCCTCACACTTGCAAGCTGACTGAGAGCGCTTTTCAGCGAGTGATACATCGGGGCAAAGACGCATTAATTAACGTGCCGGCCAGATAGCGACTAAAAAACACAGAGCTTGTTTTCATTGCTCCGGTTTCTTTGTGTGGATTGTGAGTGACCTTTTGATAACTCCATCTTAGTGAATACATCTGATTTAGAGGTAATTGGCAGAACTTATTGATTTTCCTAATTTGGCTACTTCACATAAGGAGGGTTGCCATGTATAAACTTAAAATGAAACCTTAATTAACATACAATTAAACTATTGTGTGGAATTGCAGGTTACAACCCACAAACTCATTAACAAACCTACCAACCACAGCAAAATCCTGGACACTCTTATGCAATCGAAAATTCAGCTGGGCAGAGAGAGTAAAGGACTGAGGAAAAAGGACATGTTTGAGACAGAAATAGTTGCATGGTGACCCTGCATCTATAAAAACTGCTGATTCAGGAACTTTCACTTTTGCACATTCACTCTTCTGTAATCAGATTTCCCACTGCAAGCTGCACACTTCCTTCAGCTATTTGGATTAACTACACACTCTCTTACACTCTCCTTCTTTCTGCATTGTGTTATCTTGCATTTCTGTTTCCATTTTATGCTTGTTTGTTTCCAGATTAATGATGTTTTGCACTACTTTATTGTTACTTTTACTGTTGTCTCTTGCTGTTCTGTCAAATTGTCAACTTGTTTTGCCTATTTGACATTAGCTGTTACACTGTGACTTGTGGGAAAGCAGTTTCATTTATTGTGTGTATTTTTATGAATGTCAAGCAAGAACTAAACATACAAGCGGCACTTATTTAACACTGAATTCTGTCTCTGGCAGTCAGCCCTGTGGCTGACAATACTAAGGAGTGACAGGTAATTGGTCATAGCAACTTCCAGGCAGAAAGAGTTTCTGTCAGCAGGTTATTTCCTCCTCAATAGCGACTACGCTGAGAGACCATGGCCTGTCTGCAGTAGATGCATTGGTTTTGCAGTCCTACGGCTTAATAAACACACAACTCAGTGGGTGGACCGCAGAATGATAATAAGCACCACAAGGATGCAAGTGATTAGCAGGAGTCAGTGTGGGCACTGCCTGAATTTTTGGAGTGGTCACAAAAACACAATTTTGCATTTTGAATAGAGGTAAAAAAGAGAAAGCTGGGATTTGAAAAAAAAGCCTTAGCAGGTTATCTGTGAGAATACCAGCAAAACATTAAGGACAGCATGGGAAGAGTAGCTGGGGAACTAAGGCTGGATCCATCACTGCCTTAAAAGACTCAAATTTCAATGCGTTCCTAGCGTACCCTTCAAGTTACATCAGCACAACTTCCCAAAAGATCCAGCTGTACAGAAGGATAAGGCGTGATATATGTGAGCCATGTCAAACACCCGGGATCAAAGCGCACGCCAAGCAACAGGGAAATGCGAAGGTTCAGTGTGCTTTTGATGCCTTCAGATTCAAAGCTGCTCCCACACCTTCAATACCACACAGTGTTCAGATGGTGGAATTTTGCCAAGACGGTCAAAAAAAAACACGACATGACTTAAATCTCAAAACGCGGAAATGAGTGCGTGTCTCAAACTCCATGCCATGAAAGATTTATTGCGCCTCTAACATATAGGCTGGATTAGGTCATCCTGAACCCCGAGGCAGTTACCATGGTTACAGCGGCTATACCCACGGCCTGTGCTTATGCCAAAGTTCTGCATGCAGAACGTCTCAGGTTTCCGCATGCTTACCATCACAGGGTGCATGGGAACGTATTGCAGGAGCTCTGTTAATCACTAACGCATGGCTAAAAGTGGAATAGTGTCCCAGGACTATTCACTAAAACTGCAATCCTTTTCCTCTGTATCTGCTTTGATATTGCAATGGCCAATTAACCAGCGAAATTCAATCAGGGGTATTACATTTAATCTCAACCAAAGAAAATGACTAATTCCCATCCAGTCTATCTTTATATGCCACATTCTTGCAGTCGATACCGAGTGACATACATTAAGGCGCCACATCTCATTTCTATTTGAAAATAGAATCAATTGAATTCTAATTAGATTTAGAGCATGCGGTCCGAGTATGTGCTGCTGGCCAAATTTAGCGGTTGGTAAGACTTCCTCACGCAAAAACTAAAGCTTGCAAAGAGTCACCGAAATATAAATTAAAAATTGGGCCAACTCAACTTTAACTGTAGTATCAATGACACAGTAACCTTCCACAGGTCAAATGTATCAGTCGTAAAATTCCTATTCCAAATACTAGCAGCAAAATGAAATAAGGCACAGTATTATTCTGGTCGTATGCTCTTTCCATTATTCAGCTTCATTACATGGCTGCTACATACATTAGAGGACACGTTCCCCGCGCATTCACCTGGTAATGGTGTCTGTACTAGTGGTAGGCCCACATATTCCACTGGATGGCAGGTGAAGATACAGTAGCTTCAGCACCATGGACAGCCACACCTCCCCATGAGGAATTCTCAATCAGTAATGGCTGGAGTGGCAACTCGCAAACCTGCGGCGCTACATTTTTACCATTTCACCCAAAGACCAGCCCAGCTCCTGCCAAAGACTCCAATTACCACCCTGTGTAGTGTAATACCACCAGTTTCAGAAGGCTTTAAAATCTTAACCAAGTGCAGTGAACATGAGCGACTCCTACTTATATACACTTGTCTGGATCTCTCAAGGTAAGTGGAAAAAATTGACTATATGTTTGACAATATTCTTGCTGTGTCGTAAAAAATGATGTAAGAACTTTAAGCTCACCTGATTGGTTTTTGCCCTGTACGGTGATGATGATCAGACGGAATGGGGGCTTGGTGGGAGTGTCCGATTCCTGGGCACCCAGCGGCCTGCCTGCAGCGTAAGACACCGGGGTGGGACGGAGAGAGTCTGGGCCCTCACGGGGTGACTGTGAGGCCGACATCGTGGTGGACTCCTCGATGACGACGACCTCGGTAGTGTTGCGGGCGGGCTTTCCCCTGGAGGCGTCTCTGTGGGCCGAACCCTCGCCGTCCTCCTTGTAGACGATGGCTGGCTTCTCGAAATCGTGGCGCAGGGATGAGGGCTCGTGGATGACGGGCACTGGCGATACCTTTTGGCCCAGCAGCATAGCGGGCGCGGTGGTTGTGGAACTCACCCTTCTGTCCCCGGCTGAGGCCTTATCCGCTGTCTCAGAGCCAGATCCAGACCCAGACTTGTCAAAGTCCTCCCGCGCACCAGACGCCGGTCTGGAGTCTCCCTTGGTGGCAATGTCAAGGTGAGGAGGGCTGCTCCTCATGGTGGGGAGCAGCGGCAGTGTGTCACCCCGGTGGGGGATGGACTCCACCATGCCATCGTTGTTGCCGATGAAGTCGTCCACGTTGAAGTCGTAGGGGGACATGCTGGTGGAGAACATGGAGTGAGGCTCTGCTGTGGATCTACTGCCAACAGGACGTGGAGTCATGGAGACCTTAGATCCCCGAAATCTGGGTGCAGTTGTAGTAACCGTTCCCATTGTGGTCTCTACAGCAGTTGTTGTTTCAGGCTCCCGTCCTAACAAAAAAAAACGTAGTTTTTAACATAAATATAAAAAATCCATAAATTCTTGCTCTGAATTGGTACAAGTAATGAGTGGGTTAAAAATGAGTACGACAATGAGGCACACAACAGACAATATGCAGATGTTACACAGCAAAGACATTGCTGTGTAACATACAACCATTAAAGAACAAATTCATATTCCTGAATACTCTGTATACTGTATACTTGCATATGAATGCTGTGATTTGATTCCTGACACCTGACGTAAAATGTAGACAAAAATGGCTCACAGTGTTGACATTGGCTGTGAACACTCCTGCTATAGTACTAGTGTATCATCTGCTCTCAGTTTTCCTTCTATGGGCAGTTACAGTCACACAGAATTGTTATAAAACTGGGCAGAACCAGTGCCCAGTTATTCACATTGTTCTACCTTATTTACTCATACCCCAAAAAACAAATAACCTCAAACTTTTATATGGTCAGCTTAATTACTTAACACTTTCTCATCACATGCTCTATCACATGATTAACAGATTTAGCATCAAACACATTTTAAAACAAATGTGTTTGTGTTGATAAACATAATAGTAACAGTAACAAATATAAATGTTGAAATCCATTGGTTGTGATGTTTTTTTTTAAATCCTGGGTCTGGCATCTGAAGTGAACATTTTTATTCTGGGAATTCAGATTGCCAGAGATGTCAGACCCGGTCAGAGAAATTCTGTGCAAATCATTTCTTCAGCCAACGGCCCTTTATTTTTAGACAATGCACCGTTTCATCAGTGCTTAAATTGGCTGTTTCGTCTTATTTTAAACCCCCATTTCCTGCTGGAAATTCTCTGGCACAGGAAGGTGGCATTACTTCAGGCTACACTGATATGGGCCGAGATTCAAACATCTACTCCACACACTCCAAAAATGGAGTCAAACAAAAGTATGCATTCCTTTATACCTCTGTCTTTCTCTGCATCATGTACAACATGCAGATTAGGAGTTTACACTTCCTCCCCTTCTTCATCTCTGTCTCTGTTTCTCTACGTTCTCCCATCTCTCTGCATCATGTACAACATGCAGGTGAGGATTTTATACTTCCTCCCCTTCTTCATCTCTGTCTCTGTTCCTCTACGTTCTCCCATCTCTCTTTCTTTCTTTCTTTCTTTCCCTTCTGTGTCCTCATTCTATCCTACT